TTTGTTAGGTTGTTTTATTTGGAAACTTATGACTTTGGAAATTTATACCGTGCTCTTAGTCCGCGACTTACAATAGGTACTCTTATTTATTCTGTAAGTTAAACAAAATCATCTATCGTTTAGGTCACGGATTAAGCGCACAGTGTAAACATAGCCTATGAAATTGATTGTTAAATGTTTAATTTGAAAAACTTTTTGTTCTAGGAATTTTTATTCCTGAAACAAAAAGTTACGTTATTGACAGAAAATATGAGAATGATTTTGAAACACGACAGTAGTACACATGCCACGATATAATCAATATTATAATGATTGCGCAACGACAGAATTTTAATCGTATACAAATAAAATAGCTATCGCCTTATCAATTGGACATACTGACATTACTGATCATCAAATTATTGATAAAGCGATAGCAATTTTATTTACACGATTAAAATTTTGTCGTTGCGCAATTATTATATTATTGATCATATCATGATGTTGTGTACTGCTGTCGTGTTTCAAAGTCACTCACATTTTCTGCCAACAGTATGAAATATCAAGGACATTATTTAATACGAATTTAGATTTTTCTTCTATTCGCAGAGAGAAGAAAAAATATGTGATAGGATTGTAAGAAATTGCTTGAGTGCACTTGTTTTATGTATACTTTTTTTATAACTTTATCGCCTCGTTTATCGCGAATAATAACTCGGAATTTAGTTAATATCTGTTAGCAATGAAAAATTCTATAATGAAATAAAATTAAATATAAAATCAATAACTTGATAAGGCTATATTGATAACGGTTAAAAAAAATGATTCAAAGATATGACTCGATATATTACCTAAAAAGGGAGGATCAATACATATTATATGTGTGTAAGCGAAGAATGTAGTATTGTAACAACTAGTCGAAAGGAAAGAAAAAAAGGGGGAAAACTACTTTATCATACGAATCGAATTCCGAAAGCACCAACCTCTCTACTGCCTTCCTTAGGTCGAAATCGTCGTCCCTGGCGAAACAAATGTTCACGTTGAGATCGGATATTTTTTTCTTTCACATCGCCCGTTAATGTAATTCATATATCATCTATATATACTAAAGTCTAGAATTATAAGCTCAAGAAAAAAAACTTGTGAAATAACCCCAAGTTGAACTTATAATTATATTTTTTCAATTAAAAGACGTATTTTTCCAAGGTATCCAACTAATTTCCAAGGAAATTGTCTTAAAAAATAACATAATTGAGAATAATTATTATATTAAAGAGTAACATTATTGTGATCTTGTTGGTTATCTATTACCAAACCACTTTCTAATCATAATCTCTCTACAGTCTAATTTAATTTGGCGGGAAGTATCTACACATCATCACGTTAAATGATTACAAATCGCATTAAGCTGTACAAATATTATATATCATATTATAATCTTATTGTAATTATCATACATCGACATATCATCGTCATCTTTCGCAAATATTTGTATCTTGTATGATCAGATGCTTCTCAAAATGCCTTGAGTTAGCCCGGATTTAGTTATTGATTAGCTCTCCTACCTTTTGGCCTTCTTGAGAAGGTCGTCGCCGCCCTCCAGAAATTTTTTCAATGTATTCGGTATTCGCGAGTCAACCGCGGACACGGCGATAATATCACCTCCCTGCTTCAGCTGGACCCCAAGATGCTGCGGGCCACCATTTTTGTTTGTGAATTGAACGAACCTGCAAAAATATATTACGATTAATACCACGTTAATCGACCAGGAAAAACATGAGAGCCGGTCTAATCGTTACGTCACGTATGATATAACGATAACGCGTTTATTATTATTTCATGCTAAGAAGTAGAAAATAAAAAATTAAGTTATATAATTTTAACTCCCCAACAATAAATAGTTCTTGAAATATTAATTTTATTTCTTCGTAAAATTTATTTTTTATAAAATGTTCTTAATGGAAGGAATAAATAATACATATACACGGTGTCCCGCAATTTTTTGCCAAGCGCTTTTGTGTAAATAGAGCGGACTAAACTGAGTTGAAATATCCTCTACTATTTTGCAATTTTCGCAATAGTTAACGAGATATTAATTACTAAAAGTTGCCGAATATTAGTCTCCAATAATTTTTTACTCAAATACTCTCAACTTTACAGCAAGAAATAAAAATTGTTTATTTCCTTCTCATAGAGCTCTGAAAATATTTTCAAATTTTTTTCAAAATTTTTTAATTTTTTAATATTTTCTCGTTGATAAAAATAGTTGCCAATAAGAAAATGCAGTTGACAAAAAATCTAAAAAGTTGATAAAAAATTCTAAGAACTTTTCGAATAAGTTTTTTAATTTAGTCCGCTTTATCTGCACAAAAGCGCTTGGCAAAAAATTGCGGGACATCCTGTATATTTTAGTTTCAACATATTAGGTGTTGGAATTAATTCGTAGCGTTTTTTAATGAAAGAATGTTATTTATTTCACATGAGCATTAAAAAATACATTAATGAAAGTACTCCCCATCACTTGTAAAACGCTACGAATTAATTCCAACACCTAATATAATATCTTTCATAATATTTTAACACATGCGTTAAAATAAAAATGACGATATATTTCTCATTTAATTAGCATAAATATCTAACATGCAGGCGCGCGCGCGCGCGATATGTGTGTGTGTGTGTGTGTGTGTGTGTTGGTTAGCATTCAAAATGTAACAGTTTAACAGTCTATAACATAACAGTCTATAACGTATCAAATTTAGAAAAATATACATTATGTTGTATGCTTTCGTAATTCAAACATTTCGTAAGTTTCACATTTCAATAACAGAGTTTTCCAACGATAAGAATCGCAATTAGCGATTCTATTTTTTAAACTAAATGCAACCGATAACATTTTTCATTAAAATTCTTAAAATTATGTATACAGAAGCCTCTAATTATTTCTTATGAATCATTTAGTGGCGTTAACATCGATTTCACTTATCATTTCCTGACATGTAATCATATGAGGAAGAAAAAGAGATTTTTTTAATAGATTCTAAAGACGTAATTCTGGATGTATGCTCTTTTAATAGGCAGATAACACGACGTATATTACACATGACTGTTGCGCCAGATAGACATGAACGAATAGTAAAATCGAACCGAGTATCACAAATGTCTAAAAACAGTATTCACAATTCGATCGGAAACTTTAATTTACATTGAAATAAGTATACAAATTGTAATTAACAGTTTAAATAGTTCTAAATTAACAGTTATTTAAATAGTTCTAAATAAATATTTAAAAAGTATAAACACATTTAGTTGATACAAGGTCATTAATTTAATTATTATTTTTATTAAGTAAATATTTATTTAAGTAAATATTTACTTTAAATAAATGTTTACTTAATACTTAAAAAAATATACATATATTAAGAGTAATTTAATCTTATATATAATGAAACCAGACCTCAATCAATATAAAACGATTATATAGCATTTTGACATTCTTAGGTCTGTTTTTTTTACAGCTGAACTAATATGCACTTTCTGAAACAAGTGTACATTTAAAGTGAAATTTGGTCAAAGCGAGAAAGCAAATTTTCTAGTGCTGTTTAGTGCAGGAACAAAAAACAAACTCTCCATCTTAGTCTGCTAGTCTTTTTGGGCACACCGCACAAACAAAATTTCACTCTCTAAAATAGCAATTGTTAAGAACGACGGAGTAAATAAAGATTTTAACATTTGAGTTAAAAAACTATTTGGTAATGCAACAGAGATGTTAGGAAATAATCCTGAATTTTTCTACATTTTTTTGAAAACCTAGAACAGTAAAAGAACTTGGGGATAAAAAAGTCTTAAGTATATTGTAGATATACCAAATGTAAAAAATAATTGCAGATTGATTAAAACGATCTCTAAATATAATCGAACTCTGAATATTGTCGTAAAATCAGAACAGCGCGACAGCGACTTCAGAGTTGTTGCATCCAGAACAACGAAATCACGACGGAATTACGATGTTCGAAGGTTCGATTACTCAAAACGCACGAGATTCCACATGTCTGTTACAGCCCTGAATTGTATAATGTACATGCTCACCTCATATCGAGCGCACAGCTCACGGAGAAGTTTCTATAGTTGGTAGTGCTAGCAACGGCAAGACACGGATTGCCCTCACTCTTCCCGCACGTATTAGCGATCGCAAGGCACGTTCTCCCTAGTAATCGTAATTTTCCGCGATACGGCATCTTTTAACACGCGTAATTAGAGAGAGAAAGAGAGAAAGAGATATGCGACTCGAGAACGAGAGGGAGCAATGAGGAGCTAATCGGTCAATGAAACTCAAAAGCAGCCGAGAGATACGAACACCGTGAAGGACAAGAGGCAACTGAGAAGTGAGAACTGAGGCCATATAGGCCGACAGGCCACGCTTTCAACTCTCACGAATGTCACGCACGCCTGTCACGCGGCACGTTAGGGGTCCAACCACGTGATCTCCTGATAAAAAAAAAGAGCAAAAAGACTGATTTATGCAATATTTTAGACAGATTGCTGGAAAAGAGGAAAAAAGAAAAACGTAAGGAATTGTTGAATGTACGTTAAATGAGAACGCGAACCGATGAGCATGACATTGCAAAATATGTAATCTTATCATTTTAAAACGACAAATAGCTCTAACATTTGCGACAAAAAAACATTAGAACCGTATACATTGTCACTAATTTTGCATCTAATTAAATATATGAACTTTATTGTAATGGAGGAAGGAGCGAGGAATTGCGAAGAAAAAATGTGTTTCCCATAATCAATATTTTTTGTTATGTATATAATACTAAATTAATATAATAATAATAATGTATAAATATTATTTAACATTCTGTTTAAAATCTCGATAAAAATATAAAGATGGATATGTATGATAATCTAAAACACTATCTATAAATATTTACACAGAATATTTTATGATACATCCAGAAGAATGGACAGCATTTGATTACGTAGTAAATATAATATTTAAATAAAAGAGAATGCGGTCTATTTTAATAGTATCATCTTTAATACCATTTTTAATATTCAATCAAAAGCTTACAATGTAGCAATTAACAATTAGATAATGATTAAGGTAACGGATTTCTCCGAGTGTTTCTGAACTCTTCGCGATTGTGATACGGTTCATACGGATCGTCAATATAATAGTGCCGTCTCTTCCAGTACTTGGATACCATCTTGTCCAGAAGCGTCGACTGTGTGGCATTGCAGAACACATGTTTCCTCAGCCTTTTTTTTCTGGCGGACGATTTTGTCCATAGCTTATTGTGTCGACCTGTTCTTGTTCTGATCCAGATACCCCTGCAACATTTTATTTTATATCTCTCAAAATTTTGAGTTTCTACAAATGGCTGATATTCGTTCTTCAAGCCCAGTTTCACAATTTAAAGTTTACTCTTAACCTCTTAATTTTAGAATTGGAAAAAGATGAGAAATAAATTGAATCTCGGTTAAAAATTAACCGAGTAAGTTGTGAAACTGGACCTAAATATTCAAGACCATCTTAAATCATAATCTTTAATATACATAATTATTTTCCAATTCTTTATTACACACGACGAGTCATTTGTATTTTGGATTATTTTTCATCACTTTAACAAATATAGAAAAATTATGATTTTTTTTCATATATTTTAATATCTTTCGAAAGTATCAGTATCAGACCACTCTTCGCCCTGATAAAGTGAATTGCGACTATGTTTATAAAATGTTGGCATTTCAGAAGAGGATAATCTCGATAACAGATAGCTTCTCTCATTGTAGAATCCTCAAAAAGTATTATCTTTAGATTTATATAATATATTTGTATAATAAGATTGTGATATTTAAAGAAATTGTATATGAATATTTAATTAATTACCTAATGTGATCTTAGTTTTTTTAAGAAAAAAAATGTGCAAGACATGATTGACTCAATAATGTATATTAAGAGTTAAAATGCTAATGTGAGTGGTTTATCATGTCTTAAAACTTAAACATCTTAAGATGATACTTAAAACGATCTCAAATATAAGTATCAACCAATACGATTGTTCAGAAATATTTGATGCAATCTATAATTTTCGGTATTGTTATGTATTTGATATATTCTTGAAATATTACCAGTGCAGTCGGTAGAAACGTTTTAGGACTGTCTTCACCGTCTGCCGCTTTCCTTTTGCCATAGTAAACTTGATTACAGTTCTTATTGGCACATTAATAGGTTCTGCTGGCAAAGCTAGACGATTTTCCGTTGTCGCATGGCTGAAAAGATAATATTACTTTCATGTAGTAACTTAGTATTTTAGTATCTTACATAGAAATCAACACGTTTCACAAATCACTTCTGCAATATTCTACATTACTTTAGTAGTGTTTTATGTTGCGTAGGTCCGACAGCTGCCCATTTTTGGACAGCAATTGATAGTGCCCCAAACTCTCTGTGTTGTATGGAATTCAAAATGGAATTGCATCTTGAAGTAATGCAATTTGTCGCATTTGTACTCGTCCTCGCTGCGATTCCTGAAAGAATACTAAATCCAATATGTGTGCTTGCAAGATAAATAAAACCAAGGAAAAATGTCTTATATTTTAAATGTTCAATAGCGTCAGAAAATTTAGGATCAATGTGATAAACACATAATTAAATCTTAAAACACATAATTTATGATAAAATTATAAAACAAATAATGCAATTCTGGTAATTGTTTTTTTACTTAATTATACCCTCAGGGCCATATTATCCTGCAGTGAAAAATAAAATTGGACTTGCGGATATTTTAAATAAAAAGAACATAAAATTAAGTCTTTAAAACGCTCTTAAATTTTCTAACGGTAGTGTATGTGATAAAATGTTTAATTATGCATGAGTATTTTAACATGTATGTACAATTGTATATTGTAAATAGAATGTCAAACTCCACAATAAACACTAATTAAAAGTAATATAAATCAATGTTATGATTTCACATTTGATGATGGTTATATTCAGTAGAAAAAGCAGCTTTAAAACTATTGTAAAATTCTTTAATATGATTTGATATGTATTTACTAGGTTTAAATGCATGAACGTTATACATTTATAAATTAATTTGTTAAGCTATGCAATCTATAAATTTTATACGTTTAAATCTAGTGAGGAAGTAAAAACGAAACCAATCACACTAAAGAATTTTACAAAAGTTGCAAAGCTACTTTTTCTGCTAAATATAATTAATGTAACTGTTATTGAATACATGTATTATATTACATTTTATATTGTTAAGTATGATTATAACATTGATGCTACTTTTAGATGGTGTTCACTGAGAATTGTTTCGTAGATTGATTTTTTCGAATTGAAACATGAAAATTATACATATATACAGAGTAAGAAAAAAATACAGGAATCTTGAAATATCTAAAAGAAATATAAGTTTTAATAAGTTAAAAAACTGTTTCAAATAAAAGTTGTAGGGATTACAAAGATCTATCTACGGATTTTATATACATATTATGTATATATAGATGTACACATTTTTATTTTTTATAGTTGATACCGATGCTGCTGGTGATCATCGATAAGTACAGACAATTGGTGATGTGCATCGACAGCAGCCATATAATTAAATTATATGGGAATTTTTGCGTAATTTTTACTGATATACACTGAATTTAATTAAAAAAAGAATTAATTAAATATGATAATGCTGCGAATAAAAAATGCCCAAGGAAGATGTAGATCTCGACATTCGTGTGAGACGAGAACCCTCAAGTGGAGGTTCAAACACGCGCTGGCGTTCCGATTCCGCAGCGTTCCTTCCGCCAGCCGTGTGTCATGGCGACCGCGGCGAGGCGAACCTAACCTCCCGACGTCTCGCATTCCATTATTCGCGACGCAACCAGACGTGAAATCAGCTAGTGTATCATGGTGCAGCGCACGGTCGACGCGTGATAACCTCGCGACGCGGTCCTCGATCGCAGAATCGGCCGTAGACTACGTATATACCCACCTCGCAGCGTCGCGCTCACGGCACGCAACATTCTTCTTTTCGCGCAGTTCCGTCCGATCTGGTCCGGTGTCCGGTCCCCGTGGCCAGCTGTTCTCCCTGTACCGTAGTTCCCCTTTTCCCGCTGGCTGCCTGACCGGCCACTCGAAAGATGTTCCGAATTGGATTAAAATTTCCTTACAATGGTTTAAATCGGGTACGTAATCACATGCGAGAGAATCGCAGATGGGCGGGACGCGATCGTCCGGGTAAGACCGTCCGCGTTAAAATACCGCGAGGAATGCGACCACACGATGACACGACGACGTGATGTCTTATCTTCACGACAGTGTCGCGCGACGATCCCGCGCCGACCGACTCCACCGCCGTCGGCTATCGCGCGTCCACCGATAGTCGACGACGAGCGTCATGGAGTCGGATTAGCTACAACAACGGCGATCCCGAGAATTCGCTTTCGCGAACGTCCGACCGCGGCCGACGTTTCCCGGCTCGCACGCGTGACAAAGATGGCATGTTTTTAAGAAGGCTTATATAACTCCAAAAGCTCTGATCTCGACGTTTATCCTTTCAGGTAAAAAAACACGGCTCCTCCAGGCCACATCTAACCGCCAGGTACCACTACGAACCGCGGGCGCGTATCAAGTACGAGCCAGATGGAAGGTGAGCTCTTCAACAGAAGTTTAAGTCTGGACAGGTATCATTGCTTGTTAGACCTGTCATTATTCAGTGGAGATCGTGCTCGTGCTTTGTGAATCTCAAAACGCGAATGACACTATGTTTTCATGTTATTTACGAGCAATTTGGTGAAATCGGAGCGTGGTGAGGTTATGTCCATGCATGTGTTTTTCTTAAATAAAAATGACTGATGAGTAATCTTATGAATGGCATCTATCATGTTCATGATTCTATCACCACTGTATTTGTCAGGTTTGTTGAGTCATTTTGACTAGTTTGTTGGGTTGTTATTTGATACGAGAGTTCAACCTTTGACGAACAATGTAATTTTATTTAAAAAGTTTGTTCTTTTTAGTTCAACTCTTTTACAGTTTATCTCTTCTCATTTTCTATCTATATTAAAGAAAGAAAAAAATTATCATACAAAAAGTATTTATTTGAAAAGAACAGGCTTAATAATTTTCTGATATGTGGATTGTGTATCCGCATGTATATTATGTCAGTCAAAGATATGTTCTGACTTTTATTTGGATGCTTCTCGAGTGTCATGTCATTCTCGTTTAATGTTTGTTAAACAATCTGGAAACAGTAATGTCTCAACGTCAAAACATAGTCTTCAACGCGCGAGACATAAGGATGATATACTGGAGAACACCCAAATGAAAATCCGAACATGTCCTAAAGTGTTAACTTTAGTAAATGTATATACTTACTAGTCAATGTATCTAACTACAACAGACTACATTAAGTTTATATACATTTATTGAATTAACGTTTTGATCGTAATATATACACAAAAATATAGATTTTTATATTTTTTTAGACTTTACAGGGATGTCAGATTTATATCCAGATTTACTGGGCCGAAATATTCGACCGCACCAAAAAGGTATATGCAAAATATGAATTATAATATTTAGCATATTATTTATTAAATTAATGTATATATTTTTGTTACCTTTCTGTGATTTTATATGTGTAAATTTGATCATGTTACGAGAGAAAGAAGTCATCACTAGTTTAATCACTAAATTTATTTATTACTTGTGTTTCTCATAACAGCATCAAAAGTCGGGGATCAGGATTGTTGGTAACTCTAGGCGCTGTAACAATAGGTACCTTAGGAATATTAACTTATGCAAAAGGAAACCCAAAGGTTCGAGCTATCCTCGAAGGATGGATTCCGGGTACAGATGAAACTATCCGAGTTATCTTTCAAGAAGATAAGAATTCCAGCTATTTTGATTTTGTACTTACCTTGTTCGAAACGGTGAAGCAGACGTAAGAAAATAAAAATTATGTATAATATTGATAATTATGTTAATTACTTCATTGAAATATGGATGTTTATTACAGAATATTAGGCATGTTCATCAAGGAAGCATCAGAGCCAGAACCAGGTCAGACAAGACAAAAGTACACACAAATTGTAGAATATATACGTGAGTCCAAATTCCTTAACTCCTATCCATGCCTTATTTTTTCCTGGTACTTTCTCTTCTGGCCTTCTGGATCTAATTCCTTTCCTCGATTCTTTTTAGGATTATATATTAAATACTTAATAAATTATGTAATTATGTATAAATTATTCCCACTAACTTTTAACAATTGCATGTATATACTGTAGCGCCCAAGCCAGCTTTTAAACTACTGGCCGATCAGAAAGAAGCTCCTATTAACAAGAATTATGCCGAAATTCGTATTAGTAAAGACAAGGGCGAAAAAGTCGATGTTGGTACGTTTGCATTATTTTTCGTTTTACAAAGTTTAAGTGGAAGATAATTAAATAATTCATATTTTTATAGTGGCTGAGAAGCCAGCGTCGCCTGCTAAAACTGGACGCGATGAATTAATACCACAAAATCTCATCGAGTTAGAAACATACTGTGGAGAAGCTGCTGGTAAAGCTATTACGGCCTATCAGAAGGCAGTGTACGCGCTTCAAGAATACAATCAGGATGTTGCCAAAGTGATTGAAAATGCTGGCACTACAGTAAGCGGAGTCGTCTGGCAAAGGTAATTATCACTATATGCTTACATAATCATTTTACGCCTCACTTGTATGTATCGATTATGTAATCAAATTTGTCACGTTTGCAGGTTAAAAGAGGCAACAGAAAAGAGGAAACAGACTGTACAGCAAGCAGAAGAACACGCGAAAGATGCATTAGATTCGCTTAAGCATATGTACAATTCAATCGATGAACCTGTGCTTGAAGCGGCCGCTCATATGAAAACGGCTGCGAAGCGAAATATTAGAAAAATTATGGACGATGTGAACGAAGCTAAGAAAAAATACACCGATGAATTACAGAGTAGTAACGTCGCGGAGCGCTACTGGAAGCAGGTTCAAACAGCACGAGAGAATTTCAATGAAGAATTGCACATTCTGTTTCCCAATATAAATATTTATGATAAGAAGCTGTCTGTTAGCGAAGAAGCCTTCGATTTATTCGTCGTGCATATGTATCACAAAGTCAACAATCTGCAAAAAGAGCTGGAGAAATTAAGAGTGAGTTTTTAGCATCGTTTAATGTAAATATTATAATCTCTAAATTTATATTTCCGAAACGCTTTCGTACAAAACCACACGATTTTTGCATGGAGTTAATATTTTAATATTGCATTAATAATAGTATTTTTAAAGAGAAATTATTTAATTACAGACAGTCAACGAAACTAAAGTGAAAGCGGCACTGAGGACGGCGGGTGAAGACGTATCTCAAGAAAAATTGGACGCTCTGATCTGTCTCGAAGTTAATCGAGAGAGACTTGAGTTAGAAGATAAGCTAGCGAAAGAGGTAAGAAATTTTTAATATAGTTTGAGCTTGAATATTTTAACTTGAAATATTTTAATATATTTTTAATTTGAAATATGAAAATCGCGAGCACAGAAAAGCACTTTATCTACAGAAAATTAATTTTAAATTTCTCAGAATGACAAAACTTTTAATCATTTGTTAATCATATCTAATTTGCGAAAATAATGCGATCTTATCCCATTGTATGCTGTTGCATTATGTCTTCGTTCCATTGTAGAGAGATGTTAATTCTATAATGCGCATATACATGTTTGTAACGAGAGAAGCAATATATCCGAGCACGATTCAGATAGCTTCAAAGCTCCTTGTTTGGCGTGTAAATCGTGCACTGGCCAATGTTGCAAGCTTTTACGTGCACCATCGCTGTTCTCTTAGTATACAAATACAAATAGATGTGAGCTTTAGCGCCATTATTAATGTTGCCTTAGCATTTAGATGATTGCACGGCCACGTGTTTGTGCGTGAAATCTAGTCGTTACAGTGCGGATATATTCGCGCGAATTAAAGAGAGATGGCGTAAAAGATTCTTTCATTAAATCCGCGATGATAATCGTGTGAAGTGCAAAAAATTTCTGAGAAAATGTATTTCTCGATGAAAGGGAAAAATGGGGAAAGAGAGGAGGCAGTTAAAAACCGGGCGATGAAAATGGTGGTGCTTAAGTTGTAAAGCGGACGAATAGAGAGATCACGATGATAAAACAGGCCTTCATATTAAAGCGTTGGAAAATAACGGAAGAAGAAAATAACAACGGGTCATTTTAATCATAGCCACGGGTCACTTTATTGCATTGCAAGATCTCTCAGATAAATAGCTCGTATAAAATAATATTCGATTTACTTCGTAAAGTTACAGTTTATAAGATTTTATCGCGTTTTTCAGCTTTAATCATCCTTCATAAAATATATTCTTTTTCTTATATTCAATAAGAACATACTAACTTTGTAAGTCAAATTGAAACCGAATCGCTTTCCACATTGAGTTATATGTTGTATTCAGATCGGGGCACAGGTGCTTCGGTGTTTTGTTCATATCTGACGAATTAATTTAAAGCAATGTGGCAGCATGTGTAACGTCACATACGTGATACACCGAATGTGTCGCGTCAGAGGATGGTCTCGATAGCACTAGTCCCTCATGGTCCTTTTATTTATTTCCATTTGGCCGAACGCCAATATTTCGACAGCAATGGGTGATATTAGTTCCTTAGAGTATACGGCATTTGTGTGCTACCACGAGGTATTCGCCACGAGGAACCATTGTGACTCACTGTCCTCATAGTTGTTCGACAGCTCTTTTTCGACTCCCTTCTTTATACCCTCGTCTCTCGGTCTCTAGTTGCCGAGGATGCGCCGTCGAATATAAATCTTGTCGAATCGATCCACGCGGACTTGCACGACCTTTTGTTCTCGTTTCGGACGGGAACAGCGGTGTCCTCTAATTGCTATTTGTCTACGAGCTTCCGGTACCGCTCGTTAACGTCCGGTCGAATATTTTATCGTAAATGCATCACAGATAGGCGGCCGTATCGCCAACCGATCTTCCTGCGTCATCCATTAAATTGCAAAAGATAACGGAATTAATTAATGGTAATCATTGCATAATTTGTTCATAAGTTGCCGT